GCACCCCCATCCCAAGTTGTGACAACCAAAAATGTCTGCAGATATTACCAAACGTTCCACAAGGTATTAAAGAATTGCCCCTTGTTGAGAACCACTGTTCTAATTTATCTTTAGGATAAATTTTTAGAAGTAGAAATGCTGGAACTAAGATTATGTGCATTTAAAATTGTGATGGCAATTGCTAAATTGTTCTCCATAGAGGTTGTGCCATTTTACACTCTAACCAGCAGTAATTGAGAGTATTTTCTCATTTTTACCGATACTGTGGTACAAATTTTTTTCTGCCATCTTACTATTGTTTTAACTCATATTTCTGTGCTTTACAGCTTACCTTTTATGGAGCACTAGCGCTTGCTAGGCATGTAGTAGTATTTGACTTGTGGGTTTTGTGACATACTTTGAAATGCCTTCCCCTCTATCTAGCCCTCTTTTTTTAATATATTTTATTGATTTTTTACAGAGAGGAAGGGAGAGGGATAGAGAGTTAGAAACATCGATGAGAGAGAAACATCGATCAGCTGCCTCCTGCACACTCCCCACTGGGGATGTGCCTGCAACCAAGGTACATGCCCCCGACCGGACCGAACCTGGGACCCTTCAGTCCGCAGGCCGATGCTCCATCCACTGAGCCAAACTGGTTAGGGCCTATCTAGCCCTCTTAAAATTTGGTACCAAGAACTGAAGACAATACTCTGGGTTTCTTCTGATAATGGTCTCTATATATAAAAGCCCAAGTGACCGGTGGACTGGTCGCTATGAAATGCACTGACCACCAGGGGGCAGATGCTCAATGCAGGAGCTGCCCCCTGGTGGTCAGTGCGCTCCCACAGGGGGAGCACCGCTCAGCGGGCTTACCAAGCGGCAGCATGATTGCGGGGCAGGCGCAGTGGGGCTGGGATGAGGAGCTCCTCCGGGCCACCTGCCGTTTCACTCATACTGCATCCCCGAGGCATCCAGGATTGTGAGAGGGCACAGGCCAGGCTGAGGGCACAGGCCAGGCTGAGGGCGCAGGCCAGGCTGAGGGACCCCACCGGTGCATACCATTTACTGAGACAGACATTGTGCTTGGTGTGCTTTAAACATGCATTATTGCCGTGTAGCCGAAGCATTTATTTGTAATAAAATGCTGTATCTTTTTCCCTTTGAGTTGGTGTGTGGCATCTCTCTGGACACAGTCTGGTGGTCATGGTCTCCTGAAGTAGGATGTGTCACAGAGAGCTAGCTGAAAAGCTTTTGATTCTGCAGTGAGGAATCACAATAGTACTGGCCTTGTGATTTGGTCAGAATTGTTTAAATGCCCCAATTTAAGTTTGTAACTTCCCTCTATTACTTTCTCTTCCAGCACTCTTCCTTGGTAATCATCATTTTGTGAAATTTTGACTTTGTGTCTGCTAATTTGGTTAATACTTTTCTCAAGGCATATTTGTTCGCCACCAAGTATCTAACACCTAACAGTGAATGTTTGTTGAATGCATGCACTGAATCCGTCTGAGAACTGAGGTACGCTGGAAATTGTGGGCCTAAAAGCCCAGATTTGCCATTCAGAGTGTTGAAAAGTTTAGCTAGTTTAGCAGTGGGCTCTGTCACATTCCTAGAATGAAGCCATCTTTCCTTTTAAAAAAGTCAGAACCAGTTGGTTCTTCTGTTTTTCTCTGGACCATTTGGGCTTTTAGGGAAAATTTGGTCCAGTGACTCAGTGATTTTGGCTGAAAGCTGTGGAAGTTAAGAGTACAAGTAAATGTTCCTTAGAGTTCATGGCTTCCTCTGCCTCATGCTTAGGAGTCATAGCTGTATTTACTTGAGACATAGTGATACCCTCTCGTAAGTGAGCAGTTACCTAGAAATTGTAGTGTGATTGAGTTCTGATGTGAGCGATTTTCTGATATTTCCAGAGATCACAGTCTGTGTTCCGGGGGCCTTATGGCACAGTTACCTCTGCCTTTAATGACTGCTTTGCTCCTCCAGCAAGATGTTTGGAACCCTGTTTGATAACTGCAGCTTGCTTGCTTTTTCTCTACTTCTAAGAATTTATAAGAGGATTGTATAGTGTTGGCCAGATAACTTGTTTGGCTAGTTTGGCTGTTCTCTGTTCTGGAGCCTGGCACTGGTAAGTAAACAAGAACTCAGGTGGGGTGGGACAGTACGGGGAAGTCCACTACCTCTCAGGAGGAAGAGTAGCTGGGTCCTGGGTCAGCAAACTCTTGTAAAGGATCAGATAGTAAATATTGTAGGCTTCTCAGGCCCTGGTCTCTGCCACATATTATTTTTTTGTTTTTACAATTCTTTAAAGATACAAAAACAATTCCTAGGTCATGAGCTTTGTAAAAACAGGCCATAGCCAGATTTTGGCCCATAACCATATGATGATTTGCCAACCCCTGAAATAGGTGAAGAAATTAGTTGATTGCTTAAAAGTGTTTAATGTTTTGGGGACATGAATCCAACATAACCTTTGAAATTCTCAGTTGATTATAATTCAAAGAAACTCTGGCATGGGAAAGTCAAAGTGACCCTACTTTCAGTCACCTTGGGTACAGGACCTCAAGGTAACCTTGGCCAGAGTGACAGCAGCTGTCCAATGGGACAGGGATCTTGCTGCCTCTTTCCCATGGGAGTGCTGGGCAAGGGTGAGTGGTATGGAAGAGTGGAATGGAGGGGGGACCCTAGAATTAGGCTGGAGTAGACACGTTTAAGGAATACAGTGTCACAGCATATTAAAAGTTGATTGAGTCTCAGAAATACATCTAATTTTCTGAACCTCTGTTGGGATGTAGTTAGAAATCTGGCATGTATAATCAGTTTGGCTAGTTTATGAAAGAGCAGTTTTGTTCTTTGGATTCTGAGAAGAACACCAAATTCTGATACATGAGTCCAGATTTGCCTTGTGGTTTTTCTCTGATCACAAGAAGTTCTGTAGAGCAGGACTGGCATGAAGGAAGTTTTCATTTATTTCAGGGTAGTCTGGGAGGTAGGAGAGCATAGTGGTTAAAGAGCAGGGGCTCTATGACAGATATACTTGTCCAAATTTCTACTCTACCACTTACTAGCTATTTGACCCTGAGTAGCTTACTTTATCCTCTAAGCCTCAGTTTCCTCACCTGTAAATAGCAATGACAATAATAACTCCATCACAGGGTTGTTGTGAGAATTAAGTGAGCATAGTATATGTAATATGCTTATTATATTAGCTCATTGTCCTGTCGTTAGTATTCGACAAGTGTTAGCAATAATAATGGTAATGTGAAAGTGGAAGATGTTGAGGATCAAATGCAGGAACTAGTATTTGTGACTCGGTGCCACTGAACTGTCATGGCTTTTAATCACTAGATGTGTGGGAATATAATGGGAGCAGTAATGGGTTAGGAGTCAGAAGAATTGGATCTGTGTCTACCTTGCTTGGTTTCCTAATTGGTAAAATGGAAATAATATGTGTTGACAGGTTGTAACATCACATGTGAAAGCTGAGTTCTATAAAGCACTGGACAAAATTTAAGGTAATTTCAGTTATCTGTTCATTCATTCGTGAACTTCTTAATATATTGAAGTAGAGCCTGAAGGTAATTGGTGTGAAGCCAAAATGTTTGTAGAGGGGCTTGAAAGATGCTCCCAAATTCAAGATTCACATTGCTAAGTTGTGGTCAGGGATGAGTAATACAAAACGGGAATACTTCTGTAAGGTATTTGAAATAGTAGAGTTCTAAAAAGGAGTGGCTATTTTAAGTGAAAGAAGCCAATTTAACAAGGCTATGTGCAATATGATTCCAACTATATTCTGGAAAAGGCAAAACGATAGAGACAGTAAAAAGATTATTGATTGCCAGGGGTTGGGGCAGGGAAGAATGAACAATCAGAGCACAGGATTTTTAGGGCAGTGAAGATATTCTGTATGATACTGTAATGATGGATACACATCATTATAAATTTGTCCAAACCGATAGGATGTACAAGAGTGAATTGTAATGTAAATTATGGACTCGGATGATTATGATTTATTAATGTTGGTTCATCATTTGTAACAAATGCACCTGTGTGGTGGATGTTGATAATGGGGGAGGCTGTTACATATGTGGGGGGCAAGGGATATAAGAGAAATCTCTGTACCTCCCTCTTAATTTTGTTGTGAACTCAAAGCTGCTCTAAAAAAATAGTCTTAAATTAAAAAAGAATGGCCAGTGTGGGGAGATAGGCTGGAGGAGTTTAGCCTCTATATAGAAAATGTGACAATATCTTATGAAATTAAAACTCTATGTTTTCTTTTCCCCTGAAGTTCCCTTTCTAGGAATTTATCATGAAAATATATTTGGTTGTTCATTTTGTGTGCTAAGTCATGTGTGCAACATGGTTATTCATTACATTATGTGTAACAGCACAAAAGTAGAAACATTGGTGTCCAACTGCAGAAAACCAGTTAACTAGTCTTACAGTTAAAAACAGTATACCTGCAAAAAGTAAGGGAGCTATGTATGTGCTGATTGAACACTCTTCCATGATATATTGAGCTAAAAACAAAACAAAAAGCAAGGTGAAGAGCAGTGTTCATAATATGCCATCTTGATTGTTGCCAGACTGGGGGCACGTAGAAAAGAAGTTATGATTTACTTGTATAAGCATAGAATAGTGGGAAGAATACGAAGCTGGTAATACGGTTGTACCTGGATAAGAACTCTGGGTAGCTGGGGGACAGGTAGGAGGGACATTTACTTTTCACAGTATACCCTCTTTATCTTATCAGATGTGCCTTATATCCATAGGTTTGTATTCAGAAAGTCTGAGTGGTCACAGATTATATCATTGGAGTTGAAAACTGTATGAAACATGGGTGTGTTTTTCTCCCTCATTTGTGTCTGCCACCTGTTGCTCTGCTCAGTCCCTTTGACCTTGATGGCTTGAGAAGCTGGCACTGACTCTAGGCTAATCCTCAAACACTCTCCCACCCCCAAAGCATATTGACGTTTGTCCTCTGGATTTGTGACTGACGGTGTTTCTGTTTCCACCCCCAGCTTTGGCAGCATGTAAGCAACTTCTTGCCAAGAACCCAGGTCACTGCTGAGAAAAGGGGGCCTTAGGGAGAAGAATATCCAGAGGAAGCCAATGCCAGGAGCGTCTGGAATTACACTCACCACAGGCAGCATGAGACATTCTGTGCCAGCATCTGTGTCCTGCTGGCAAAGACTGCAGCTGTCCAGGTAGGAGGGTCCTGGAAGCAGCGTGCACCAGGAGCCTCTGGAGGAAGAATGGGGCCAGATATGAACTCTCTACAATGAACCAATTTTCAGCTTGCGAAGGAGTTTTAAGTAAAACAGTTACTTAATTTCTACATATTCAAGTTCAGTAAGTAGCCTTCTGTGTGAAGTGCCAGCAGTCACCCCCCTCCACTGGAGTTATCAGGATATTTCTGGCACCACGTTCAACTCTTCTTGGTACTTCTGGCAATGACAGAGCTTCAGGACAGATTTATCTGCTAAATGCGCTTGGGCAGGAAAAAAAGTAAAACTCTGGAAGCAGCCTAAGGGCAGCAGAGCAGAGATCCCGCCCTTGCTGCTCACTGTCACAGAAAGTCAGCCTGGACTCGAATGCTCACCCTGAAGATTGATCCTGCCTCATTCACCTCCCGAGCCCGTCTGTTCCGGGGAGATCTGGTGTTTGTGGGCTGCCTCCTGTGGCCCTTTTTACTTCATTCCCCTCCCATGCTCTCTATGATGTGAACTTTGGAATGGAGTTTGTTTTCCGTTGGGAACTGACTCTGTTTCCCCGACTGGTGCTGTCTGAGAGGACCATCTGAAGGCTGTGCTTTGTTCTTGGGGAGGAGGTCATGGCCTTGCCTGGACCCTCCACCATGTTCCTGTTGCTGCCTTTTGATAGCCTGATTGTCAACCTCCTGGGCATCTCCCTGACTGTCCTCTTCACCCTGCTTCTTGTTTTCATCATAGTCCCCGCTATTTTTGGAGTCTCCTTTGGTATTCGAAAGCTCTACATGAAAACTTTGTTAAAAATTTTTGCGGTGAGTTGTGCTCTTTACAAATGGTTGCTTCACAGAGGAGGAAAAGAATGGTTGTTCTTGGGTTGATTGTTATCCCTATTGGATCTGAGAAAGTTGGGAGAGTGGGAAGTAGCATTTTGAGTGAAAAAAATAACTAAATGTGTACTTGGGAAAGCCTTTAGCAGTCTTTCTTTTGAGGGAAGGTACTTGTATGTTCCATTCATCTCAGCAAAGAACCTAACTAACTTTGCATGTTCTGTGTTTATTTCAAAGAGAATAGCTTAAAATTGAAGAAAAAAATTGCTGCCAGATCCCACTTCCTATGTAACAGATACTGAGAGATAAAGCTGCTGCTGAAATACTCCCTCACTGATAAGTATGGGAGAGTATTTTCTCTCCTTCAAACTTTTATTTTAAATAGGTTCTTGCATTTCAGACCAAAATCATTAATGAAAAGGGGCATTTGATGAATTGTTTTATTTTATTAAAGATAGAGAAGATGGATAATAAATTCCTTAACATATGTCAGAACCTAATTAATTATACTGCTGAACCAAACTGGTCCTAATGTAAAAGAGGTGGGTGAGAAGTGTATTCCTTGAAGCTGTTCTGTGCCCCAAGACTTTTATTTTTGAAATGTATTTATTGGTTTTTAGAGAGAGAGGAGCAGCAATTTGTTGCTCCACTTGTTTTTGCATTTATTGGTGGATTCTTGTGTGTTTCCTGACAGGGGATAGCACGTGCAACCTTGGCCTATCGAGACAGCGGTCTGACTAACTGAGCTACCAGGGCAGGGCCCAAGATTTTTAATATCTATCCAAAGATTTGGTAATTTATTAGCAATATCTGTTTTCACTCATTACCAAATCTTTATTTATTTCCCACAACTGAGATCACGTATATTTGAAAAATGCACTCATAATAGTAAAAACATGTTCGATTATTTGTTCGTATAGTATCTAATAATGGCTTACGAATAATTTCATTTTTCTTTGCTGCCTTATAATTCTGCAGTGGACAGGGTACCTATATTTTATCAGTAAAGAAATAGAGGCTCAGATGGTGAGCTCTATGAAATGTTATATTACAGTGGAAAATTTTTTTATGTATATCAATGAATATTGGGTGTTGTCTTGACATTTAATATTTCTTTAAGCGTATGATTTTTTATATTTTTAAAAATTGAAGTGAAATTGACATAAAATTAACCATTTTAAGGTGAACAATTTAGTGGCCCTTACTGTATTCACAGTGTTATAAAACCACCAATTCTACCTAGTTCCACAACATTTTCATTACTCCAAAAGGAAACCTCATATTTATTAAGCAGTTGCTCCTGTTTTTTCTTCTTCCAGCTCCTGGCAACCAGGAAGGAGCCTGTTCTGTCTCTAGACTTATCTATTCTGGATATTTCATATAAATAGAATCATATAAAATCTGCTCTTTTGTGCCTGGCAGACTTCATTTATTTAGCATAAAGTTTTTGAGATTCATCCACATTGTAACATGTTTCAGTACTTTTTTTAAGGGCTGAATAATATTTTATTGTGTCTATACCATAATTTGCCTTTCTCTTGGTGGACTGTTTCCACTTGGCTATTGTCAATATTGCTGCTATGTATACATGCACTTGTTTGAAACCTGTTTTCAGTAATATGATGTCTGAGTACGACTTATGGTCTCCTGGGTTATTAAGTTCCTTGCTACTCAGGAAGAGGTATAGAGAGCAGCAGCATGAGTATCACCTAAGAGCTGGTTAGCAATGGAGGGCTCACGCCCACTCCAGACCTACTGCATTATATTTTGCATTTCATTGAGATCCAGGTGCTTCGTATGCACATTAAAGTTTGAGAAGTGGTAATCTACTCAGTCTTTGGACTAGTTACTAATGTATAATGTTTATTTTAATAAGCCAGGAAATCTCATTTTCTTGAATTTCAATCCAAGAAAATCTTCAGTAGAGCCCAGGGTTCATGCGGACCATATAACTTAACTACCCATGCCATTTGCCACTGTGAAAAAAACCACACATCAGTATAGAATCAGTAGAACAGCTCATAAACTTTTAGAAGACAACAGATGATTAGCTTTAATTCAAATTTATAAGCCAGTGACTAATTCATAGCTCTAAGGAAATCCTTGTTTTTTAAAACATAGAAATAGGAATTATCAGCCTATCTTCTATAGTAGCTAAAATTTTTTAACTTGGCTTACTTGGGTGGGACAAAGGCCTAGAACCCATGTATATTCTCTGCTCCATTTTGACAATATTTCCCAAAATTAACACTTTAAAGGTCATAGCCAGGTGAATCGTTCTTATTGTGACTATATTTTTAAATGTACATTCTTGTGACCTTTAGGGTAGATTATAATTAACGAAGGAAATTTCATTAAGTATCTATTGTTGGGTTAATCCATAGGACAGGTAATTTTATACCATCAGATACTCTGCTGACCACATCTTGGGAATCACTGGTTTGGGGCACTGTGATTTAGAAATGATAATGGAAATAATGTGTGTGTGTATGTACCCATTTTTTTACCTCAAGATTTAGAATTCAAGAACTATATTTTCACCTCTTATTCCCAAGAGGTGATATCAGGCATTCAACATGCCCTATGGCTCCTGTTGAGCATCATCGTTAATTAGTACTTGGTGACAAGCTAGAGTAAGGGGTAGGCTAGCAAGAACTGATATGTATCAGCAAGGGCATAGGGTGGCTCTCCCTTTAATAGAGGTTACTGCTCTGAGTTGATCTTAATGGACAGTAAGAACTTAATGCTATTTTTTTTATTAGCAGTAGTATTAGATATAAGTTGGATTTGTCCAAACTTGTTTTATTTTATTTTATTTTATTTTATTTTTTTCTGTAAGATATTTATTTAGGAGTTACATGTTTAAAAAAGACACACATAAAACATTTGACCCAAGAACATTTAGACATTTTTTCAAGTATAATGGAAATTTATATAAGTATGCTATCAATGTTCTATGTCATAAAGCAAGGCTCAAAACAAACTTGTTTTAGATCATGGAAAGCATACATCTGTATATTCATGTATACATCTAAAATACACCTATACTGTGGGTGTTTTTTTTAATAGAGGAGAGATCTTTATTTAGCCTCTTCTCAGCTTTCTTCCAGCTGCAAAGTTATATTTATCAACCCTCTTACATATAACTTGATATATATAACTTTGCAGCTGGAAGAAATGTCAAAGACCATCTTAATTCTATGGGTTTCTCTCAACCAACATACATCTGAATTACCTGAGAAAGCATTTTAAAAGTACTTATTTGGGAGCACTAGAATCTCCCCAGAGATTCTGATTTAATTGGTCTGGGTGGGCATTTTTAAAAGTTCCCCAAGTGATTCAAGGATCTGCCATCAATAGATGGAGTCTGGTTGATTTCCTCTTGAATGGGAATCTGCCTATGACTTGTTTCTCACACATAGAATGTGGTGTATGTGATGCTGTGTGACATGTGAGATTAGGTTAGAAAAGTCATTGTAACTGCTGTCTGGCTCCTGGGATGCTTGCCTCTGGGACGCAGATGCCATTATTGTGAGGAAGCGCAGGCCACGTGAAGTTGTTCCAGCTCACAGCCCCAGTGGGCTCTGACAACCAGCATCAGTGCCACATGCAGAAGTGAGCAAGCAAGTCTTCGGAGAGGCCCAGTCCTCAGCTTGTGAGCCACCCAGCTGATGCAGATTCCTGAGCAAAATGCATAATGGTAGTGTTTTCAGCCACTGAGGTGTGGCTGCTTTGTTATGTAGCAATAGATAACCAGACAGATATAATATTAAATACTTTTAAACATCCATTCATGTTCTCCAGCTCACAACACCTTAAAATTTTTTTGCATTACCTTTCGGTCTTTGGCAATACACATTCATATTTTATGGTTGTGTTAATAGCATGTACATAAAATTTTGTATCTATGTTTTCTTTTCGTCAGCCATTTTTGTACTGTAATAGATAATCTTCATAAAGATTATTAAAACTGGATATCTAATAGTCCATATTCCTGTGCATTTGGTGGACCTGAGTAAGCCCTGACTGAATAACTAGTTTACAATTAGTTCCTTTTTCTGTGTAAAAGCACCTTGTAATGATACCTGCCAAAGAGGGACAATAGAATATGGATCAGTCAGTGTCTTTTCTGTACCCTCTCCTGGAAGACTTAATTCAGTCCTATTAATGCTGAGTCATGGAAAATCTTCATGTGCAGAGGGCAGTATGTTAAATGTTTTAGTTTTCTTATAATGTTTGTGCTTCATATTTACCCTCAAGACAGTGCTGGTATTATTTGGTGTAGAATTTCTAGGAGTGGACTTTCAACTAAGTTGAGAATGATTTAGGCAGGAGGAGAGAAGAAAGCCTGGTTATAAAGGAGAAAGATGATGAAAACAAATGGGCTGAGTTTTCTTGCCTGACATGGAAAGGGTTGATCAGGTCAGGTTAGAGAAGATGGGAGAGTTTTAATCTGACCAACACTAAACTCCAAGGTGGAATTGATTGGTGGGGAGTTATAGGAACCATGAGAAAATGGAATAGACTGTACAGGTGGTGGGAATGGGGTGGGATGGGCAAGAGATTCTAAATCCAGGGCATTTCCCACCAGCTCCTAAATTTGGCCTAAGTCATCAGAGTTTCCAATTGGCTTGATTTATAAGTGAAAGGTCATTTTAGTCAGAAATGTCCTCCCTGCCCCGGTGAGAAGAGTGATTTTAACATAATCTTGAGTCGCTTTGAAGACGAAATCAAGAAGATGAGAATATGATTGTGATGGGGTAAGTGACTGGAAGTAGTTTTAGGTTTTATCATTTCAGGTTTATCTTTTCATATGGATCTTGATGAAAAGAAATACTGGGAGTTGGTTGGTTAAATGTAGCCTATTGACTGCCTACTAAGTGCAGGGCACTCTATCAGATTCTGCTGGAGTTGCAAATACGGGTAGGTTCTGGCTCCTGCCCCTCAAGGTATTTATAGTTAGAAACATATGCATGCATAACTGATTCATAATGTGATGCCAGCTAAAATACATAGGCCACGATGAATTCTGACTGCAGGAATTGGGTAGATAACATTTCACATAAGATGTTGGCATTTGAACTGGATCTTGAAAAGCCAAAATCATTCTAGATGTACAGATGAGAAAGTAGTCTTTTTTAGAGACAGTGCATAGTTCTGTAGAGCAAAAATGTTGGGTGCATGGAGGGAATGAGGTAGACTATAAAGCCGAATATTTTTTAGGCATTGAGAAGCTATTGAAGGGTTTTGTATTTTTTTTTAAAAAAAGACTTTCTTACTGATTTTTACAGAGCGGAAGGGAGAGGGAGAGAAAGAAAAACATTAATGTGACAATGGAACATTGATCGGCTGTCTCCCGCAGACACCCTACTGGGGCTTAAGCCCACATTCTGGGCATGTGCTCTGACCGGGAATTGAAGTGGCAGCCTTTTGGCTCATGGGACAATGCCCAACCAACTGAGCCACACTGGCCAGGGCAGTTAAAGGGTTTTGAGCAAGGAAGTGACACAGACTGGCAGCATGTGTTCGGATAGGTTGGAGGAAGGGAAGAGCAATTAAAGAACTGCTGTGCATTAGTAGTGTAGGCAGGAGAGAGATTGGAGTGGCATGGCACAAGAGGCAGCCGGGAAAGACTGCCTCGGGAGCACTGGTAGGAGTTGGTGACAGATGGGAAGCCTGGAGGCTTGGGTGACGGGGATCGTGATCCCAGTACCTCAGGAGGAGAGAGGAGGGAGGGGCGCACACCGGGGCTTGGAAGGAGGTGTGTTGCCTTTAATTCTCGACCTGGTTGGACTTGGTGCAGGAAGACCAGCGGGTGATTGGAATTGTGAGGTTGGAACTTGGGTGCAAAGTCAAGATTTGTAGATTTGGCAGTTTACTTAAAGGTTATAGCTGAAGCAGGGAGAGAAAAGAGTTGTTAAAAGATGTAGCCTTTGCTTGGGACTTAGAAGGTAATGGAGGATGGGAGCTGGATTTGTTAAGATCTGAGTCTTTGGGTATATCTAGTTAGTTCATGGGAAAATGCAATGGAACTGACTGAAAAGGAGAGGAAGGTTTGCGCTGAGATTAGTGTGGCTAAGACTGTTAGACCTCACTCATGTGATTAGGTCCTAAATTAGTTCCCAATAGAAGGATTGCCCAACAGAAGTGCACCATCGAACCCTCTGCACTTCTAAGGGCAGGGCCTGCATTTCACCTGCCAAGGTCTGCATTGGGTTTAATGTCACCTAAGAGTGCAGCATTGTTAATGTCCTTAAATGGTTTCTTCTCTGTCTGCTAGAAGCTAAAAAGGGAATAATTTAGCAGTCTGATACTGACAGTGTAGTGAATGGCATTTCATAGAGGAGGAGAGGGCTTGATAGGGAAATTAACTGTGAACCTAGGGTTCTCAGTTTTATTCTGGGTATCAGAACACTGTACTTTTTAAAGTGACAGCGCAGAGACGCCAGTTGTGTAGTTTTCAGATGTTGCTTCATTCAGTTCTCTGTGCCAGGGTGAAGTAGTGTCTGGCCATTCCTTCACAGGATGTTCTGAGCTGATAACCTGGTCCCTCCAACTCTGCCCTCTTCCCCTACTCTGACTGGACAGATCTTTCCTAAACAGAAGCATTTTGTAATGTGCAAAGCAGGAGGGCAAGGGGATGTTTATGAACGAGCTTTGTCATAGAGCTAGGAGACACAGAATACAAAAACCACAGCCATCTTAAATTTTGCAGAGTGAAGCAGTCCTCACAGACATAAATTCTAATGCTCAGGAGGCCTGATGTCATGTATTACCTGCCTATTGCATCCTGATCTGAGTATCAAAATTGTCACTACAGAACCAATTCTGATTGTGTACTTTTATTTGTGCTTGCAGTACAAATACAGAGTTTTGGCCAAAATGGAAAGCCCTTTAAACTCTGGTTGAGTGACCTCTCTGTATGGCCAGGCTTATAAACTTTTTGCTCCTTATTCACCTCTTCCCTAGATGGAATCCCCAGATGAAATTCACCTTCCTCCATTTTAGGAGTTATATTTACATTTTCTTCTAGAAAAGGTCATCTACGCATAGAGCCAAAAGACATCAATGGCTAAATATCTGAAATACAGAAAATGGGTTAGGAGAGTTTTCTTGCCTTAGACCTGTCTTTGAGTGGGTGACTCTGTAAGCCATCTGTTTTTTTAGACAGTGGAGTTTGAAGAAATTTCCAGATGAGGTCAGATCACTGATTAAACTTGTGTCCTGCTTTTGGCACTGCTAGACCATGCAGAGCAATCTTGCTAATACTTCAGGCTCTGCCAGAAAAATCCACACCAAATGCTTTGGGCCATGTGGATTTTGCTGTGTCATGGGATGAGAGTGTTCATTCCCACCTTGCATAACTGGAAACAGAAGTTTGAAAGACACCTTTTAAGATATCTGTTCCATTTCTTTGATCACCATGGACATAACTTTCTATTCGATGACAATGTATTCCTGTAGGTAATAAGTGAGCTAATGTTTTCACCTCTCATTATTTGATAGTGGGAGAGACCCAGCCTCTGACTCTATTTAGTTAAGAGGATTTTAATGAAGGCCGGCTGGTGTGGCTCAGTGGTTCAGTGTTGACCTATAAACCAGGAGGTCAGGGTTCAATTCCCCGTCAGGCAAATGCCCAGGCTGTGTGCTCAATCCCCAAAAGGGGGCGTGCAGGAAGCAGCCGATCAGTGATTGTCTCTCATTGATGTTTCTATCTCTCCCTCTCCTTTCATCTCTGAAATCAATAAAAGTATTTTTTAAAATATTTTAATGAAGGAAGAGAAGCTCTGGGAAGAGACTCTCTTTTCTAGATCTCTTCCAGAGTCGATTATTATTTTAGTAATGAGGACAATTAGGATATTATGCAGTTGCCCAAGTCCTGTTATGTACATAGTTTCATTTGTCTAAGTCAGGGGTGGGGGGCATCTGGCCCCCGGGCCATATAAGGCCTGATAAATCATTTGGTCAGGCACTGCCAAGGCATTAGGGGTAGCTAATTAAATGTTTGACCAAATACAGCAGGCTAATTTTTAAGTTGATAATTTTGTATGGCCTGTGAATGATATTACAAATATCCAAATGGCCCTTGGCAGAAAAAATGTTCCCCATCCCTGGTCTAAATGTTCTTGAGATGTAGGATGTTGATGTGCTATCATTCTCTTCTGTAGATAGAAAAGACCAACTTTCAGAGTGTTGGCATGAGTGATGTAAGGGACGTATGTGTCAAATTTTTTAAATTTCAAAATAGTGGTCTTTTTTCTTAATACTTTTTTTGTTTTTTAACAATGACCCACTCTTAGGTCTTTCTATATTAAGTGGGGTTCTCCTGTTAAAAGTTTACTCAGAAGGTGAATGGACAGTCCAGACATATATATTACTTAAATCCATTTTTCTACTTGAAAATTAAAATTGTCGCTTTCTTGGAATAATTTAGGAGGTAGGCAGCATCGGGTGGCAGGCAATAACTTTAAAAATGCTTGATTTTAACATACTGTCCAACCTCAGAGGAGGGCGGGTGGTTAGAGATCAGCCAAAGGACTTGTATGCATGCATATTAGCATAACCAATGGACACAGACACTGGGGCAGTGGGGGATTGTCTTGGGGGGTGGGAGTAGCGGAGGGGGGGTCAATTGGGGAAAAAGGAGACATATGTAATACTTTAAACAATAAAAAAATTATAATGAAAAAAAAAGATGCTTTTACCAAAAAAAAGTTAAAAAGTGAAAAAAAAAAAGAAGCTTGATTTTGCTGTTTGTGAATAGCTGCTATTTGGCAGTAAAGAGGAATATGTGAGGTCCGCGTACAGTCAGCTAGGGAGTTCCTTAAGGAACCTGAGACAGAGATTTAGGCAGTGAGAAGCTGGAAACTTACCCATGCCTCTTAGTCTACAGCTCTTTCCTGGAGGCGACTTAACTCTTGGTCTTAGTGATCCAGCAGGAGGCCTGCTCTAGCAGGAGAGCTTTGAGCTTGCTTTTACAATGGGTGCTTTCTTGGCTACACTGATCTCAGGTGATAGGGCTTGAGGCTTTCACAGAATGGAATTGGAGTTGTTTCCTGAAAGAAAGGATTTTATTCTTGATTGTTACCGTTTTCCCTCTGTAGTGGGCGACCTTGAGAATGGAGAGAGGCGCCAAAGAGAGGAACCACCAACTCTACAAGCCCTACACCAATGGTAAGACTGGGTCTTGGTCCTTATCCTAAACGCTCCCTTTGAAGTATGTTCCTGGGTGCTGGACTCCACACAGACTCCTCACTCTGTCAGAGGTGGGCTGTGTACTCTGAGCATCCTTCACACGCTGTCTCCCAGCACGCTGCTTGACGGGGTGTTCTCTTTTGCAGGAATTATTGCAAAAGATCCCACTTCACTAGAAGAAGAGATCAAAGAAATTCGTCGAAGTGGTAGCAGTAAGGCTCTGGATAATACTCCAGAGTTTGAGCTCTCTGACATTTTCTACTTTTGCCGGAAAGGGATGGAGACCATTATGGATGATGAGGTGACAAAGAGATTCTCAGCAGAGGAGTTGGAGTCCTGGAACCTGCTGAGCAGAACCAATTACAACTTCCAGTACATCAGCCTCCGGCTCACTATCCTGTGGGGCTTAGGAGTGCTGATTCGGTATTGCTTCCTCCTGCCTCTGAGGTGAGGGCAGGGCCCGAGGGGGCGCCAAAGGACCCGAGTTGCTGCTGCCTAAGCCCCGTGCATGATCTGCTTACCTTTGTCCCTGCTTTGTTTTCCCATTTTAGAAAGGATAGCAGGATTCTTTCATTGGCCAGTCCCTCTGACCCTTGTAAGGGTACTGGTGATCATCCTTTTAAGACCCTGATTTTCTGCATATCAGACCGAAATAGGTTTCTAAAGACCAATTTAGTGTCTAGATCAGTGGTTTTCAACCTTCTGGCCCTTTAAATACAGTTCCTCATGTTGTGACCCAACCATAAAATTATTTTCGTTGCTACTTCATAACTGTAATGTTGCTACTGTTATGAATTGTAATGTAAATATCTGATATGTAGGATGGTCTTAGGCGACCCCTGTGAAATGGTTGTTTGACTGCCAAAGGGGTCGCAACCCACAGGTTGAGAACCGCTGGTCTAGATGGACGAAACACAGGGAAGGGAACATGATGTGCTCTCTGGCCACTCCTCCCTGGGCAGGCTAATTCTTTCCTCTAGTACAGAGGCAATATTGATCTCGGTCTTTCTGTACCGTGTGTTTTGCCAGATGCTGGTACCTTCAGGCTCTACTTCCTGTTGCTTCACAGGAAGCTTTGCTTCTGCCACCTTAAAGCCAAAGGGAAGGGTAAGACAGCAGGACAGCAGATGCCTGCGGGCAGAACTGCCAACCAACGATAGGATTTGCCATCATTCTGGCTGCCTGATGCCTGAGGAAATAGTGTCAGTTCAGAGCCAAATCCATAGTCGCTATCAGTTTTGAATCAAAATGATCTCTGGTTCTGATAGGCCTGCTCAAGTTTCCAGATAGAACTCAAGTCTAGGTCAGGGGTAGGGAACCCTTTTTCTGCCAAGGGCCATTTGGATATTTAGAACATCATTTGTGGGCCATACAAAATTAACAACTTAAAAATTAGCATGCTATATTTGGTCAAACATTTAATTAACTCACCCCTAATGCCTGGACAGGGCCAGACCAAATGATTTATCAGGTCTTCTACGGCCTGCGGGCTGGATGTTCCCCACCTCTGTCCTAGGTGATTAGGTCTTGGGGGTGGTTTCATGATGCCGCTTTCATTTCCCACATTCAGTTCTATACATGGTGCGAGGATTTGTTTGCTGTGTTTTAATTTGTCTTCTCATTACAGGATCGCTCTCGCTTTCACAGGCATTAGCCTTCTGGTGGTGGGCACAACTGTGGTGGGATACTTGCCAAATGGGAGGTGAGTAGAATGAGAGTGTCCATGGCCGAGGGGTGGTTAGTTCTGGAACGTGGCTGCAGTAATGAAGGCCAGGCTACTTCTCTGGGTGCAGCCAAGCCACAGAATCTTAGGTGGATGAAATAACCCAACAATAAACAATGGCATCAGCACTGTAGTCTTTTATTACCAGTCTTGCCCTCTAACCCTCACACTCTTCCCATTTAAAGACAAAGGAAAGAAACCACAAACTGTAGAGTTCAGTTTTAGCAAGTTTTCCAGCTAATCTTTACCTTTAAGCATTCTACTGTGTTAATAAATTGGTAAAAGGATAAGAAATGTATATAGGGCTTCTTTGTTCTTTGAAGGAGAAATTTGCTTTTTCTGGGAAATTCTGGAGCAGATAAGCCTCTCCTCTGCCCAGGCTGGGTAGGAGGTTGGACCCTGGCCTTTCTTTGCCTCAAGGGAAGGAAAGGAATCTAGTAGACTCACCTGTGCAGGAAATTCTAGGGCTATGAATTCTAAACCCTTTACTTAGGTGAATTTAACAATTTTCATCATGCTTTGTTTCCTAATATATGGGCATAAAGATGCTAATAAATTACAGGGTTTTACCATATACACTAATACTTACAAAATACTTTGCAGTCATAAAGGACTGTAGGCTGTGATAGTTAAATTGTTGGAGTCAGTAACTTTTCCTGTCTTCGGACATGTAAAAGAAAATCAAAAATCTTTTGTCCTGTTGTTGCAGGTTTAAGGAGTTCCTGAGTAAACACGTTCACTTAATGTGTTACCGGATCTGCGTGCGAGCCCTGACAGCCATCATCACCTACCACGACAGGTGAGTGGTACATACAGAGGGAAAGTGGCGCTGGCAAAACACAACCCAACTACAACCAGCCAACCGGAGCTCTTCTGAGCTTTCAGTTAGCGCTAGTGAAGCTGAGGTGAGGGATGAGTTCCAAATGAATTGTTTCACATGAAATTGTATTGCTTTGCATACATTCTAAACAGGAAAAACAGGCCTAGAAACGGTGGCATCTGTGTGGCCAATCATACCTCTCCTATTGACGTCATCATTTTAGCCAGTGATGGCTATTATGCCATGGTAAGACTTCTTTCTTTTGCTTTCTTGGGGCAGGCTTCTTACTTTAGAGACCGGTCAGGTCTGGGAGGCTTCTGGGCCCCTCACTAAGCTCGCTCTTAAGAGTATGAGCAGGTAAACATGTTTATGTACGGGCTCCGGTCTAGATTTTTGCCTTTGTTGCTTCTGAGAACTCCTTGGGACTTTGATAGCAGATATTCTGAGCAGAGTGACTGAAAATGTGGCTGGAGATTAGGCATGGAGGGGGGGAGACAGGGAGGGAGGATTTGAACGTACTGGGCTCCAGGGCATTGGGGAATCTGTGCAGGGGGCACTTTACACAGGTGTCATTCAGCTTCATTATTTCATTTTGGGATTTTCAGCTGTGTTTTGAATTACACACCTCTGGTATCACTGATTAAAAAGAGAAATGTAAGATTCAGGGAGGCTATAGTGGTTTCTCAATAGTAAGAAACCTGTGGCTGTCAATAAAATGTTAGAGTGTGAGAGGTTGGTGTGGTTATTTTGTGGGATCTGGGGCTTTCTCCACAGAGGGGGGGCGGTTTGTGTGAAGATGGCTTCACTACCAGTTATTTCTTTGTCTGAGATTAGGTGGGTCAAGTGCACGGGGGACTCATGGGTGTGATTCAGAGAGCCATGGTGAAGGCCTGCCCTCACGTCTGGTTTGAGCGGTCTGAGGTGAAAGATCGCCACCTGGTGGCTAAAAGGTAAATCAACAAAATGCTATCGTCTATATGACCAGTTACAGAGGAAGTATGCATTTTAGAGGTAGTTATCCCTCCACAGTAGAATTGTGGTGTCTTCTAGACTGAGCCTATACTGCTTTCATAATAAAAATGTTTTTTCTAAAACATGAAATATAAAAATGTATACAAACCCTAATATTATTTGCCATTAGTAACGTGTCTAAACCTTTCTAATTTCTTGCACCCCTTGTAACAAACAACATATGCTATTTGAAATCTCAAAAGGAATTATTATTACAAATAAAAACAAACTTAGAGCAATGCAACAAAGTGCTTCCCTGTTTCAAGCTTGAAAAAAGGATTAATCTGGTGCAAGTAATGGCAGGAGCTTTGCAGTAAATTGAGAGGAATCCAGACCCAACTGAGACCACCTTTTATAGGGACACATGAACCTGCCACTAAAGTCCCTTTGCTGCCTCTCTCAGGGACAGGGTGTAAAGCCAGGTGGATGTAGGCCCAGCTTAGCAAGGCTGGTAGAAGTTCTATAGCAGGCTTTTATTAGGGGTGCTCTTTGCAAGGCCCCATAGCAGGTGTGTCCTGCAGACAGTCCCAAGTCTGTGCAATGTCCTCTGTATACAAACTTTAATACTTAATGGAATAATTGTATGAATTAAATAGTAGTCATCTCATTTTCCCTGTCCTTAGGAGTTTTATCTTTGTGAGATTTAGATTTGGGGTTTATAAAATATAGAGTCATGTTTGTTCACTTGTTTTTATGCAGCATCTAGTATCACATCTATGTAGGTTATTCATAAATGCATTCTGGTGATAATGGACTAAGGCTGTCTGACCCTCTGTTTTATTTTTCTCTTATAAAGACTGACTGAGCACGTGCAGGATAAAAGCAAGCTACCTATCCTCATCTTCCCAGAGGGTAAGAAGCCGTTCATCACCACCGAGGCTGCTGTGTGTGTGGGGGGGGGGGGGGGGGGGGGGGGTGCAGGATGGGGACGCTGGAGTTGCCTCAGCACCAAGTTCCTCAGCCTTTGTTGGGGTTATCTGTTTTCACGAATAACGTTAGGTCCTTTTAGATTGGTTGTGGGGCTAAAAACGCAGAATCCCTTCTGTAGTATTGTCTTCAGCTTCCTGTAGTGTTATTGCTGAGACCTGCCAAGTCTGCAGGCGTCTTTGGCCTTTTATCCAGGCTGGTGTGTGCTCATCAAGGACTGGTCCTGTTGTAAGAGAATAGGAAGTGACTGAGTATGTTGCTCATCTCTCTTAAATGTTCATGCATAAGCTGAGGAGAGGACAGATTTATCCTGTTTGAAGAGTCATTAGAACTGTTAGAAAAAGCATTTTATTCTCTCTTGCATTTTAGGAACCTGCATCAATAATACATCCGTGATGATGTTCAAAAAGGGAAGTTTTGAAATTGGAGCCACGGTTTACCCTGTTGCTATCAAGGTACAAGACCTCTGAGGGTGCGTGTGGTCATTGTGGCTGCTGCCAGGAACAAGATGCCGCGGAGAAGGTGGAGGAAGGCGCTGGTGGCACCATCAGCGGGTTGATCTTCTTCGGCAGAGCAGCCTGGGCTGGGCCGTGTGGGCCGAGTGCTTGGGAGAATTTGGCCTTGTTCACAACCTGTTAGAAGGGACTGGGAGTCCTGGAATGCGGAGCAGCCAGATTCCAGCCCACGCCTCCCGCCCCCACCAATTCAGGAAGTGGGGAACGCTTTATAAGCGTTGTGTTTCCCCCCTTATTACCTGTCTTCATAAACCTAGCTGGGATGGAAGGTGTTCCACCTGAAGAGGTGGCTTACCGCCGGCAGTGGGGTGCTCCCCAGTAGATCTGTGTGCGTGGAGAGGCGAAGGTGCGAGGGCGCAGGGCGGCTCATCTGTGCGCCAGGGCAGTTTATAAGGTGAGGTGGATCTTAAGGGCCTGCCTAGTCCACCCCCACCTTTTAGGAACTGGTACCTCTAATTGTTCAAACTCACCCAGAGAGATGGGACGCATTCTCCCTTTTTCTCCTTCCCTCACCTCCCCCTTCACATTCTTTTGATTTTATAAACACACAATATTATTTCTAAAAGTTTGCTGTTACATTATTCTGAACAACATAGGCTGTTGTTAACATGTTTAAGTATTTAGGTTGAAATCAGGGTAAAATAGTGAGGAAATTTGAGCTGTGAGGAAATTAGTCCAAGTTCGGTTACTGCAAACTGCACAAAACTAGAAAAGTATCTGTGGAGCCGATTAAATTAGACTAAATTAGAATTTAGTCTCCATACTTTTGTAAGGGTCTGCCTATTGTCTGCAGAGCATTCTGTGAAAATACTGTTTCTTATCTTCATCTTGCCAGCACAGCTGGTGCAGTGGGGGAAGAGGTGCTCCTCTTGCAAATGCTTACAGGTGGGTGCAGCACCAGGGCAGGGATGGCCGATGAAGAGTGGCTGCAGGGCAGCGGATCCAGGGGTCAGGGCTGCTCGATAGGTTTGTGGGGGATGCAGTGTCTGCTGTGGGTGCAGGAGTGGAGAGTGGCGTTTGCTCTGCTTGCACGCCACCCTGCATTTTAGTGTGCTGAGAACCCAGTGCTTCCCCGTACGTGTTTATTAAAAACAGACCACTGGACAGAAGCCGCCTCTGCTCACTGGACAGCGTGGGTCCTTGGGTCTCGGCGGCATTAGCTCCCCCGGAGGGACTGTGAGAACGCAGGTGCCGGCTTGGGCTTCTGACTCCTCCTGGGCATTGCTGATGCCGCCGGTCAGGAGCCGCCCCGGGCACCCTGCGCTGGAGCGGGTGGTTTTAACCAGTTTCGGAACCTGGACCCTTGGGCAGTTAGGACTCCTCTCTAAAAGAAAAGGCATGTGAATTTCACATAACATTTCATTCCAGTCACAATTTAAAGTCCCCGTAAGATGAAGAGCTCGGCTCCACAGATACTTTTCTAGTTTTGTGCAGTTTGCAGTAACCGAACTTGGATAACCTTAGCAATTTCAAGACTCTTACTACACTTCCACCAAAATTGTTTCCACCAAAATTGTCATTATCTGATTTTGAGCAGTTCATTGCTGTTTTGAGCTTTTTGCCTTGTTTTTCTCTCTATAGGGTCTGCCCAGCATGGAATAGAGACTCAGCCCTAAGCAAAGGACTCACACATATCACATTTTTAAATCTATGCAGTATAGTTAGTGCTTTACAAAACAGGACAACACTTTAAAATCACAGACATGTTTACAACTCATTCTTCTCCCTGGTTTCCTTTTGGTATTATAATGTGAAGTCATTAAGCCTTCGGTAGTTATATCTAAATTTCTTATTTTCTGTAATTAAATCTAAATATCTTCATTTCAGTACTCAGGTTCTCAACTGGGCATAATTATCCAATTCCTATTCTGTGAATCATAAAACTTAGGCTTGAAAGGCCTGGAAGATCATCTAGGTCTGCGCCCTGAGTGCAGGGTCCCCAGCACAGCCTCCTGCCTGTGTTCCTTCTGAGCTCTTCCCCGCAGGGGCGTTGTCCACACGGCTGGCAGCTTGGTTGTGTGGCATCAGCTTGAGATCCCACCTCCTCTTATTTTTCCACTCTCTGGTGCTAGGTCTTTGCTTTGTAATCATACTAAGCCAGTCTCGCGTCTTGTCTGTGATAGACTTTCAGACATTTGATACCAGTCCCATGCTGCTTTGTTCAGGCATTCTCCTCAGGCTCAGTTCCTTTTGTTGCTTCTGTAACTCGCTCCAGGACCCCTCCCACCAGGCCTGCCGGCCACTTACATTAGTCTTCTGATTGGTGAGAGTGAGGGTCACAGCATTGGCTACATTTCCCACAAAATCCTGTTGAATCACAGCCTTTGCCTCCGTTAGAGTCGTTGGCAAATGAAAGTCTCTTACAAGCCTGCGTCCTGGTGGGAAGTGCAGCATCTCTGGGGCGGAGACCTGTACTGTCGCTGTGCGTCCACTTACTCGGGAGCACTGATGGTCAGTCAGAGCAGAGCCTCCCGCTCAAACAGATAACTAGCTTTGCTAGGGCGTAATTACAGAAGCAGTTCTAGTTGTTTTCTCTTGGGTCAAAGGCACTAGAAATGGTATTTAAAACTTGGTAGCAAACGCTGCAGACGAGGACACTTGTCTGAGGAAAGCTGCTAGGGGTGTCCTCCCCGGGAATCTACAGCAGTCTTTTGGGTCAGTCAGGGAGGTTCATGTTTCTAGAGGTCAGAATTACCGGGAGTAGCATTACTTCAGAGGTGTTTGTGGAGGGGCTAGAATCAGCTTTCTAATACTGACACTGCCCCAAGGACGCATTCATTGTCAGAACTGCTGTCCACTGTTTTTCAGTATGACCCTCAGTTCGGTGATGCCTTCTGGAACAGCAGCAAGTATGGGATGGTGACGTACCTGCTGAGAATGATGACCAGCTGGGCCATCGTCTGCAGCGTTTGGTACCTGCCTCCCATGACCAGAGAGGTAGGTACCCCCGCTGCAGAGGTCTTCACTTAGCTCTGTGTGAGCCTGGGCTCAGTAGTCTCGCTCACTTTCTTACAGGCAGATGAAGATGCTGTCCAGTTTGCAAATAGGGTGAAATCCGCCATTGCCAGGCAGGGAGGACTCGTGGACCTGCTATGGTGAGTCTATGTGATTTTATCAGCTGGGTCCGAGAGAATGTCAGTTTCTGAAGGAAATGCTAAGTTGTTGACCTCATTTACGAAGACCCCTCCCCTCTCTGGTGTGGAGAATGAAGCTCACCAGCCCTGGGGCGTGAGCAGTTTGACTGCTCTCTCCTCTGTTACCCTGATCTCGGGGGGACATGGAGCCCGGGATGCTTGGGCTAAAGCAGTGAGTTGTAGCTCTGGGGTTGGTGCCCGTCCACCAGGGCACCAAGCAGTCTTGTCCCTTCAGGTGGGGGAGCCCTGATGCTGATCTGGAACCCTCATAGGAGTCCTGGGCTCTGAGCTCATATATTTGGCAAAATTGGATCATCCTTAGAAAGGCACAGGTTTCCATTTTTGCATTTAGTGTGTTACCTACTAGGGCAGGAATTGGCAAACTTTTTCTGTAGCGTCAGTAAATATGTTAGGCTTTGTGGACCATGTGAACCATTAAGCTGCAGCTGCTTAATTCCGTCATTGTGGCAGGAAAACCACCAGAGTCGACACATAAACAAATGAGCGTGTGTGTTCCAGTAAAACATCACTTATAAGAACAGGTGTCAGGCTGTGTTTGGCCTGTGACCATAGTTTGCAGACCCTTATACTGGACTATGAGGTAGTTACATTCCAATAACAGGAGAGTGACGGATGAGTGCTGGCTCAGGGAAACCATTCTGGCTTATTAGGATCTCCAAGGTTAAGTGCAGGGCTCTGGAGGGCATTTTTGGAGTGGACATTGTGGGAAAAGTGTGGAAATTCACATTTGTGGGTGCCCCATGCGATCTTACTTCATCCTCAGAGGGGCTCCGTGAAGTATGGAAATTGTTGCTCCTGTTTTTCAGATGACAGACTGAAACTCAGATTAAGTAACCAGTGTTCAAAGTCACAGAACAAACACTGGGGTCAGATTTTGAACTCGGGTCTCACAGGCTTGTAGAGCCAGAATGTTCATGCACTGCTCACGGTCCCTCTCAAGGCTGGGGGAAGACAAGGTGGCTGCCTTTGAAAGGACGCCTTTGCTGTGGATGTGAGAGGGTGGAGCAGTGTCGGGTCTTGGGGTAAGGTCTGTCCAGTGATGGGGCTTCATCAGAGACTTCCACCACTACCGCTCCGTAACTCAAGAAAAGGGCAGGTGGGGACTGAACGGGCATGGATTCTCTTTAGTCATCGAAGATGTGATAATTCTAGGGTGTAGATGAAGAGTTGAGGTGACGGGTGGGAGTGGGACTTTAGAAGCAAATCCAAGTGGAAGCATTATTGGGGATGTGAGGAAGTGCTGGGATTCCCCATGGCACTGGCCCTGAGCACAGAAGGAAGAGCACAGTATTTCCCCTGTGCTCATTGCTTGCATGAACTTGGAGAATCCTTGGATCTGAACTTTACAGATTTTATTTCACAGATCCATTTTACCGGTTTGTTGTAAGTCTCGATGTTTCTAAAGCTTGGTTCACTTTCCATAATGCCAGAATACCTCCTTTGTCTTTTTTAAGATGAGGATGAATGTTGGAGTAGAAAGAACTTAAAACTCCTTGGTAGGTTTAAGCAATGACAGTACCTTGAACATGAGTGGTGAATTCTGGCCCCGAGCAGGAGTGAGTTTTGAGGTAGAAAGGCTGGATTCCACAGTCCAGGGCCGGTTTCTGAGCTCACCCTGATGAGAGGCCGTGGGGGACCTTTGTTTCTGCAGGGGTGTCTCGGTTCTGGGCAGCATGGGGCAGTGGCTGTGGTGCAGGGTGGGCAGGAAGCTTCGTCCTTACATGCAGCCTTCCTCTCCCCAGGGATGGTGGTCTGAAGAGGGAGAAGGTGAAGGATGCTTTCAAAGAGGAGCAGCAGAAGCTGTACAGCAAGATGATCGTTGGGAACCACGAGGACAGGAGCCGGTCTTGAGCCCACACCTCCCGCTGGCCGGAGCCACTGTGCCCGAATCCTGGCACTCCTGATGGGAGCCAGCTGGAGTCTTTGCCGCCGCCCCCACTGCTGCATTCCTTCCAGACTCAGGTCTTCGGGCTGCTCTGGATCCTGGCGCCAGCTTCTTCAGAGCCGCAGGGCCTGGGCTTGCCCTCTGAAGCGAGTGCTACTGGGTGTTGCCGCCCAGGACGAGAGGCCTTCTTGTTTCTTTTACACTAAGTCCGTTGGAGGAATGAATGCCATTAAAGTCAGCCCTCCACCTGTGCACGCGCGGGGCTGAGTAGTGGGGAAGATTCGGCCACATTCCCGTGCTGGGCCCGTGGGACACCCACATGCCAGGGACGTGGCCGGGGGAAGGGCCACCCACTCCACTGCAAGGCAGGGTGGCCGGCCAGCCCCGCATCGCCCAGCCCTGGGCTTGGCCGACTGGATAAAGGAAACTGTTGTCTGCCGGGGCTTTCGGCAGAATGAAGTGTTAAATTCCCATGCAGTCACCCAAGGGCATGGGAAGAGGCAGGACGGACCAGTGACTAGTGTGTGGTGGGAACCAGGAGTCATTTCACGTTCAAACTCCAGTGCCCCCCAAACTCCCATGTGACTTGCTCTTTGTTAACACGTGCCTCAGTTTTCCCATCTGTAAGCTGGATCGGGAGGGGAGGGGTGGTGATACCTACCTCACAGGGTTGTTGTGGGGACTGAAGTGCTACTGTGCGTGAAGGATAATGGAGCTCAGTGTTCCAAGTCCAGGACCCTGAGATGTGGCAGGACAAGGGCAGAGCTTGGCGCTGCTGCCCAGGCTTCGGAGTTGTTTTATGAGTAAATAAAATGGTCTTTGACGGTGAATGAATAGAGGGGATTTTCCCTTCACTCTTTCTCCCCTAGATGTAACCCTAAGCAACACGTTTCTTAACAAAGTTACAGAACCCAGAAGCCAAGGTTAGCGGGTGTAAGCGTGACTTCTGGTCTGAGGACTAGCATTGTTCAACAGCTTCTGCTGCTGCTCTTTGAAAGCATATCGGTGTCTGTTCACACTTCTCCCTGGTTAACTGGGAATTCCCAGCAGGGATGGAGATGTGGAGTTCTGCACAGACAGTGCCCTGGGACCAGAGGTGTGTGATGTGGGCACTCTGTGTCGAGGTGGGCGAGAGAGTGCAGGATGGCCGGGGCAGTCTGTAAGGACAGTGGAAAGCCATGAGGAAATACAGGGCCAGGCAGGAGCGGGGGCCTGGGAGAGTCCGTGCGGGGCAGGACTGGCTGTGGTGTGTGTGCACCACACAGCTAGAGGGAGGCAGCAGGCTTCATGGCCCCCTGCGCCCACCTGCAGGCACTGAAGGCAGATCCAGAGCCAAGCCACCCTCAGCTCCCGGGTTAAGGGTCTTCCAGTTTCCAAGCCCTCAGTAGAGAGCTGCCTCGCCTCTGCCATTTATCCTCCCCCCACTTCCCTCCACTCCGCGTGGCCCAGTCACCACACCTCTCGGGATTTTGCACCAGCCGTGGTGTGTGTCACCTCCAAGTCCACCTCCAGCCTGCGATTTGGGGACGTGGGAATGAAGCCCCGCCCCTTAGGCTCCGGAATTGATAGCACTTTGCCTGCCTCACCTGAGTGTAACTCGCCCTAACCACTGCCTAACCTCTTTGCCCCATTTCCTCTTACCTGCTACCCAGTGAAACATTTTACTCTTGAATAAAAACACTATTATGACTGCAAGAACTGCCTTATGAACTGCTTTACAAAGTATTCAGGAGGAAACAGCGATTATCAGCCTTTATAAGAGGTGATATTTACAGTGTTTTCAAGCTGCTGGAATCATCTTTAAAAATGGATCTTGAAGACCAGGGTCCCTCTTTAAACTCCCTTTAAAAAAAAAAGCCTGCTTGGGGGAAAAAAAGCCTGCTGATGAATACATTTATGATTTTCATAGGTATTTAATATTTTATCTTTATTTTTCTCACGTTATTTTCAACAAAACTGTCTGCTGATGACAAAGTATTGCAGGAACCTGGTTTAGAATCACTACTATGTAAAGAAATAACTTGTGGAGACTAAGCAATGATTACGTCCCTCTTTTACTAAGTGGGGAGAAGAGAGATGAAGTACGCCCCACAACAAATCTCTAACATGTTAATTTAGCACTTGTTACAAGCATGCAGACACTTCAGACTGTTCCATCGTTCTAGTTGGGGACCCTGCAGGCCCCAAGTTATCCATAAGTCAAAATGCTTGGTTTGGGGTAACGGAGTTGGTCTTGTGGGGTAAAACTTCATGGCACTCAGGGATAATAACAGAGAAGCATATAAAATACAAAATGCGCTCCCTCTTGTGATCCCAGCAGCAAAGACGGTGCTCTTAGAACAGAACCAAGTGTGGCATTCATGAGTCGTGAGCACCAGCAGCTTCCAGTCCCACTTCCAAATCTATGGCATCTTGGCTGCTTGGACTGGGTTTCTCTGACAGCTCCTTCCCCCGTAACTAAGGACCTGGGCTAGATGACCTCTAAAGCCTTTTCCACCTCTGCAGTTTCTGTAACTTAAACCATAGTTCAAACTTTGAGAAGCCATTTTAAAACCATTTGCTTCCTGCAAAACACTGGGGCTAGTAGCCGTGTTGGTGACTGTGGGCCCAGGTGAGTTTGATGGAAAGACTTTTTTCACTCAAATAGATTTTTTACCCCAGCCAGAAGGAACTTTCTAAAGAGGGTAGTAAAATTCCCCTGCGAGAGGAAGTTCACTAGAAAGCTGTGGGCCAGGCCAGGCTAAGGTTGATGGAACAGTTTGAGATGACATCCTCGTTATGTCCCTCTTTTACTAAGTGAGACAAGGAGATAGGAATTATATCCTACAGTAGAACCAACTTTGGAACTTGATTCTTGACTGTGTCAGACCCATTCCCTGTTGCTGCTCTTCAGAGGTGATAAAAGGTTTGGGGTGAGGTGCTGGGGGGTGCTGCACAGAGCCCCGAGTGCCCAGCCCAGCCCAGTGCCGAGGCTATGGCACGTCCTGTCTCTGCCCGCCGCAGCAGCACCTACCAATGGTGGGACTATACATTCAGCCATTGAGGCTTTGGAATTGGCCAAAACCTCAATGGTCAGGAATAGTGTTTCCCACGGTCCCTGATGCATCAGAGTCCCTGAGTCGTAGGTCCCATCCGCCTGCTGTGCGTCCAGGGTGGCCAGCCTCGGTTTCTCTGGCCGCACTCGCCTGTGTGGCCTGGGACACCCGCTGGAAGGGCAGCTGCATGCACACTGGCTCTTGGACACGTTAAGAGACGACCATCCCACCATCCATCTTCCACCGCACCAACACTCCCGCTCCCCCCAGTCAATATGTCTCTCTCCGATGGGAAAGTTAATAAATTTTGCTCTAGATTAAAAGTATTGATCATTTCATTTGTAAACGATAAATAAAAAGGGGGAACTTTTCATTGCACCAGGGGTAGCGTCTGGTGTATTTGGCTGGTGGAATTGCGCTAGCTGTCGGGGGGTGGGCTGCTCATATGCATTCTGGCTGGCCAGCTGCATTGATTTCCTATTAGTCTCCCAGCACCACCCAGTAACACATCATTTCAGTACCGGCTATTAATGGTCTTTTGATAAATAATCACTTGTAAGTCAATAAATTTTTATTAAACAGTGTGGCTCTTTGATTTATTAAAATCCGACCGTGTTTGTCTGGGAGAAAAGGGATGCTGAATTGAAGTGGAGGTTTTCATACATCTTCCTGACGCCGAGCAGTCACCGCACACTCCAGAGAAAAACAATTGCGTTTTAACAGAAACAAAACAGCCGAGTTTGGAACTTGGACCCAGGGAAACTTTATCTCCGTCAGTCCCAGTCCGAGGCTACTCTATGGGGAGCAGCAGGCCCGAGGGCGCCGTGTCAAGAACTTTGTGTTTGCTTCTGAGAGTGGTGAGGTCCCCGGGCTGGGCCCCGCCCCTCAGTTGCCTTCTGGGTAGCACAAGACCCTGCCTGTCCACCGGCCAGCCCTCCCCTGGCTGAGCAGTGCACCTTGGTGATGGCGCCTTTGGCAAACAGACATTTGAGATTCATGAGACAAGTGAGACTGCAGGTCCTGTTAGCATCCTGATCAAATCAAAGACTCCTTGTGGCAGGAAATGCCCAGAGACCGACTGTGTTTTGGTATGTGGACATTTGGCTGTCTGGATTATTGTAAGAAGTGAGCCAATAGCTGAAGACTGGAAATCTTTTTTGTGAGGTTGTCATTGGTCTAAAGTTGGCTGTAAAGGTTTTAACATCTTTTCATTGCGACGAATATGGCCCCAGACATGAATATAGAGTGGCCCCACCCATGAATACTGAAGCAGAACTCCCAGAGGGAAGTCTGGGAAAGGGAACAAACCTGGCTAAGAAAAGGGTTTTTATTAAAACAAACACTAGCTGGAACGCCTCGTCCTTGGCCCTGCCCTGATTCCAGCTACTGCCGATGACTTCCCTTCTCATTCAGTGGTAGGTGTTCACAGAGGGCTTTCGAAGGGGGACTTGCTGGTGAGTTCAGCTCGGGCCTCGATGTCCAACATTTCATGTTATTAGGTGTTTAAATCACATTTCTAGATGTTTTTATAACAATGTTTTAAACCTGCTGCAAGGTTTCTGTGCTGCTGCTTGGGGTCCTTTTCTGTCCTGGTCTTAGGGATGGAAGCTGCCACATCAGGGGACCTTAAAGGAGACCAGGAAGCAGGAGAGCAGAAAACAGCGTGTGACTGTGCCCAGCAGGTGTGCATTTACAGAGGGGTTTTCCCTCCGAGGCCCATCCTGTCCCAGTGCAGGGATTGGTCAAGGACCAGCTGCTTCTCCCCAGAGCTCTGAGGCTTGGGCCGCACCCCCCCCCCACCCCCCCAGGGTGGTGCAGGGGTGTGCCCAGGCAGGGAGGCCACAGGACCGCACAGCTTTCTAAAATAAGTCACACCAGATCTGCGCTCTACATGCAAAATTCAAGTCCACTTTCAAGGTTAAAGGAGAGACTTGTGAAGTGTTTCACCTGGGGCGTCACCCCTAGCCTTTGTTAATTCCCCTTCACGTCACTTCCTCTGCTTTGTTGTTAGGGCTCTGGCAGGAAAGTGGGGGTCATGTTTGTCTCCTGTGCTCCATGCGTTTACTTCCGGTGATTTTGAGTCCAGTACACGAAACTACAGGAAAGGAGTGACTTGCTGTGCAGCTTTCACAATAATGAGGGGAGTGAGGTTGGCACAAGGAGTTACAGGGCCATCTGGGCCACCATCCAACAGGTACCTGCACCTCCTGTAGGTATAGCCCGGCTGTGGGAGGCCGAGGGAAGGTGGGGTTGAGAGGCTGTCTCCCTTGGGAGTCAGGGTGGCCACCTGAAGCTTCCAGAAGATGCCCTGGTGATGCTAGTGAGCTACAACTACTTCCTTCTGTTCACCCCACGGCTCCCGGAGGCATTCTCATTGCATTTGAATCCCCCCTTCCCCCCCCCGTCCCCCTCCCCCCCCCCCCCCCCCAGCCCCACACACACATTGCAGACTCAGCTCCGAATGGCTGGAAATGAGGCCTGGAGAAGGTTAGCGGGTGCCTTCTCCCATCCGGATCTAGGCCAAGGTGTTCTCTGGCTCACCTTGCTTCCTCCCATCCTGTTTGCAGGGTCTCAACAGACACCTGCCTCCCTAGCTTGAGGAGTGGCTCTACAGGAGTGGCCGGGGAGGTGCCCAGCGTTTGGGGTCCCTGGTTCTTGCTGCCGAGGCGGTGAGCTCGGGGAAGGGCTGCTCGCACTCAGATTGATCCGCCAGCTGTGATTTGTCATTTCTCCAAGGCAGGCGCTGTTTTCTCTTGCTTCAGGAGGCCCCTTCGACACCTGCTTTATTTTTCTTCCTGCGCTGACGTGACGGGAGACAGGTGTTAAACTACTTAATCACTTTAAAATTGTTTTAATTTTCTGTTTTTTATTGATCTCTCCAGCACCAATTAATCAACTCACTGGACCAGGCAGTTAGTACATTAAAAATTGTCAGGGAGGCCGTGCATCTTGCAAAATGTCTAAAAAATATTCGGCTAGCAAATTTCGTTTTTCTTTGCCATGCAACAGTCCTTGGCCCACGGAGCTCCCACGAGGAAAGGGCCTCTGGGGCTGAAGCGGTCCAGGCTCAGTCAAGGTGCAGGTGGGGCGCTGGCCAGAGGGGCTTCCTATGGGGAAAACAGAGGCAGGTGCCCTTCTCATCGCTGATCTCCACCTTTCCTTCCACTTGTGCTCTCTGCTTCCCGAACAACGCAGGGTCCCCTTTGCCCGAGAGAGCTGGGGATTTGGGAGGAAGGGCGTGCTTGCTCTGGGCCATGTGTCCTGCCCCCCACTAGGGCAGGACTTCACAGTCTGTGACTGCCCTCGCGCCCACGGCCAGATTTCCTCTCCCTGGACGCCGGCACTTTTGACTCATCCTCAGTTGCTGCAAAGCCACCTCCCTCGGTTGGAGGCTTGCTCTACCTGATAACTCTGCCGGAAGGTGGCTGTGTGCCATGCCACCTCGTCCCTGGCACCGGGTGATGAGCCTGCAGCCCTTCCATGGAAGGTTCTGGGCCACCCCGTCCCCACGGCCACCCGACCTGTGCTGCTGTTATCACTCCCCTTGAAAATGATTAACTCCTTGGCTGTGCTTTCTGAGTTCACGAAAACACGGACAGAATAGCCAGGGGCTTCCTCATCATTTCTCAGGCGTGGAAATTTGTTTCCCAGTGTTCCCATTTTTGCCTAATTTTCTATCACTTTCTAAAAGCAAGCCTCTTATTTTTTCTGTAGCAAATTAAAGGTCAAGCAGCCGGTCTGCCTGGTCTGACTGTCTGTCCCTTCCCAGGGGGTCCCAGCCTCCCAACATCTCTCCCCCACCTCGCCCTTCTTCCTTCCGCCCCTAGTGCCCACACAACTGAGGGGAGACTCCTTCTATCCTCCTCCCCCTGAACCACACAGGTTCCCCCAGAGACCTCAGACACCGGCCCTTTAGAATCAGGGCCTGCAGAAGAGGCCCGGATTGTAGGGCAGCCGGGGGCAGGCAGGTCAGCCCTGCAGCCTGCGGGACTCACCTGTGCCCAGCCCCCAGCCCCACCCGCTCTGTATTAATTGGTATATGATTGGGCCAGGACGTATAATCCGGTATTGATTTTCTCTCTGGACGCCACAGCTTTATTTGCTCACATCTGCCTTGTGTTTAATTGGTTCTTTGCTCTGGAAACGAGAGATCTTATCGGCCGGTTGGGTTTCTTTTCCTGGGACACACAGGCACGCACACACCCAAGTTAGCCGGCCCAGCCCTGCCTCTCCCCCGCCCTCCCACCAGGAGGCATTCCTGCTGGGTGGAGGGAGGAGAATGCCTCTGATGGGCTTTCTCAGCAACTTCCTGTCTTTACACTTGACCTCCTGTGCCCGTGGCTGGTCCTTCCTGGCGTGGAAGCGTGTGGCTGTGGAGTCACACTGGGTTCAAATCTGCCCTCCCCCGCCCCCCGCACTCCCCGTGTATGGCCTTGCAGCTAACCTCTTGAATGGTTCTGCATTGCAATGTGGTCTCTCTGAGAAAAAGGCAGAATACTTGCTTCTTCGTGGGATTTGTAGTCATCACACGTGGTGCCTGGCGGTTAGTGGGTGCGCGCTAAACAGCAGCTTGGTCAGTGACAGCATCCCCTTCCGCCTGTGCAGCCGCATGTGGCCTGCTGTGGGAGAGGTCATGGCCACGTGGACGGAAAGAAAAAGGAGTCTCCCATCACCTTTGTGTGGCTGAGTCAGGTGGGAGAGCGTGTCTCCCAGGGCTCACGGTCCAATGAGCGTCTCTGACCTGAGGTCCTGCTGTCACCTCTCACCTTGTCTGAGGCCCGATGACTCTTGTCCTCTCCCTGCAGTAGGGAGCTCCTCTCAGCAGGGCCCCTCTGCCACCTGGCCCCCCTCCACAGCACAGCCCCAGGCCTGCCCCCCATGTTGGAGTGGGGGGTGTGAGGGTGGGGGTGGGGTATTTTCTCTCCTCTGACTATGGCTCCACCTTTGGGCTGGTCTGCCCTGGGCTTTCTGTAGCAAGGGCGGGGGGATGAGGTGTGCGGGGGCGGGGGCGGGCTGCAAAGGCCAGAGGTAAACACTAGTTTCCTATTGACACAGCATTCGTTCTCTCGCCTGGACGGATGAATGTGCCCTCACTCACTTTACCAAGATTAATGATGTTTGTTTGCCTGCAAAGAGAGGCCTAGTGAGGGCTTTTGAATGCCTGTCCTCTGGCTGTGGGGAAAGAGGCGGGCAAATGCTCTACCTGCAAGATGACGGGCCTCCTCCACCACTTCCAACCTCACTGTCCCTGCTGAGGCGAGGGCACCTGCCCCTGGAAGAAACAGGAGGAAAGAAATATTTCACAGAATGTGAGCTCTTTGTGTCCTGTCCCAGGGGGTTATCACTGACAAGGACACCTCAGCAGACCTGCACAGGGGGGCCTGGAGGGCAGCCAGCTCCTCCCCCTGCCAGTCCCCTGAAGCTCTGTTCCCATCTGTGCAATCGGGGCTTTTGCCCCATTTGTTCCCAAGGCTGTTGCCAAAGGAGGGCCAGTCTTTGGTTCACTGCTCTACACTAGAGGTGGGGAACATTCGGCCCGAGGATCATATAAGGCCCATGAAATCATTTGGTCTGGCTTTGC